ATAGTGATCATTGATGACTCAGAAAATCAGACATGATGATTGAATGGCAGGTTTCAGGTGACTTCATGATGATTCTGGAATTATTAAGTCTTTTTGGTTACTAGTGAATGACATCACATTTTTGTCATTATTTTTGTTTTTGTTTTTGTTTTTGGCTTGTGCAAGTCCTCCTAAAGGAAAAATCAGTCAGATCAAGGTTTTTTAAATCTGGGATAAACTGGTCTTTGAAATAGATTTGGGCTTCTCTAGGTTTGTTGGCAGTTGGTAAACCCACCCTAATTTCCCACAGATGGAGCAGAGAAGGATCCCTTAGAGGAATCAGAAGCCCCAGGACAACAGGGAAGTAACAGTAGCTGCCACTTATTGAGCTGTCCTCCCTATCACCAACTATGACCACCACAATCTCCATTTTATACACTGTGAGAAGTTTTAGTTGACAGGATGAGTGCTTTGCCCGAGATCACACAGAAGTATTAGAGTCAGGTGAATTGCTTTCCCCTTGGCCACAATATCTCAATCAACACAAATAACCTACTTAAATCACCCCTTCTTCCATCTGCCTATACTTTCTAGTAAAAGTTATACTTAAAATAACAATCAGCCAGGAGAAGTGGCTCACACCTGTAATCCTAGCACTTTGGGAGCCCAAGGCAGGCGGATCACCTGAGGTCAGGAATTAGAGACCAGCCTGCCCAACATGGCGAAACCCTCCCTCTACGAAAAATACAAAAAATTAGCCGGGCATAGTGGAAGGCCCTGCAATCGCAGCTACTTGGGTGGCTGAGGCAGGAGAATAGTTTAAACCTGGGAGGCAGAGGTTGCAGTGAGCTGAGATTGCTCCACTGCACTCCCGCCTAGGTGACAAGAGTGAAACTCCATCTCAAAAAAAAAAAAAAATCAGTGCTCCCTTAGCCAGCCCCTACTGTGTGCTAAGCATAAAGCTTTCATCACATAATAAAAGCTATTGTCTTTTTATTTCCCAAACTAAAATGCAAAGTCAAGAAAATGGAAGCTAAGACAATTAAGTGATTTGCCTGAAGTTGTACCAGTAGTTAATTGTGAAGTCAGAATTTGACATAGTTCTCATCAACTCCAAAGCATTTTCAGCTCATACAGCTGCCATAGAGCTTAGTGTTAAAAACTGTGACTCTTGAGCCAGATGGTCTGTGTTCAAATCTTAACTCCACTATTTGCTAATGGCGTCACTCTGGGTACTCTGTTTAATGACTCTGTGTCTTAGTTTCCTGATTTGTCAAATTAGGATGATGATAATGGTTTCCTTCTCATTGTTTGTTATAGGGAATAAAGGGATAACAAGAACATGGTAAACCACCGGCTCTAGGTTTTTTTGTGGGATATAAGCTCTATGAGTACAGAAGTAATTGTCTGTTTTATTCACTGTTGTATCCCTAGCACTTAGGATGATGTCTAGCACATATTAGGCAATATCAACATACGAATAAAAAATGTCCAAAGTAGTCTTCAAATTAGGTTATGACTGGGTTCGAAGTCAGCATGAAAAAACATAGCTTTCCTGGCAAGGACTTCATGACCAAAACACCAAAAGCATTGACAACAAAAGCCAAAATAGACAAATGGGACCTAATCAAACTCCACAGCTTCTGCACAGCAAAAGAAACAATCATTAGAGTGAATCGGCAACCAACAGATTGGGAAAAAATTTTTGCAGTTTAGCCATCTGACAAAGGGCTGATATCCAAAATTTACAAAGAACTAAAGCAGATTTACAAGAAAAAAACTAACAAGCCCATTCAAAAGTGGGCAAAGGATATGAACAGACACTTTACAAAAGAAGACATACGTGAGGCCAACAAACATATGAAAAAATGCTCATCATCACTGGTCATCAGAGAAATGCAAATCAAAACTACATTGAGATACCATCTCACGCCGGTTAGAATGGCGATCATTAAAAAATCTGGAGACAACAGATGCTGGAGAGGATGTGGAGAAATAGGAACACTTTTGCACTGTTGGTGGGAGTGTAAATTAGTTCAACCATTGTGGAAGACAGTGTGGCGATTCGTCAAGGACCTAGAAATAGAAATTCCATTGGACCCAGCAATCCCATTACTGGGTATATACCCAAAAGATTACAAATCGTTCTACTATAAGGACACGTGTACACGAATGTTCATTGCAGCACTGTTTACAATAGCAAAGACCTGGAACCAACCCAAATGCCCATCGACGATAGACTGGATAGGGAAAATGTGGCACATATACACCATGGAATATTATGCAGCCATCAAAAACGATGAGTTTGGGTCCTTTGTAGGGACATGGATGAACCTGGAAACCATCATTCTCAGCAAACTGACAGAAGAGCAGAAGATCAAACACCGCATGTTCTCACTCATAGGCGGGTGTTGAACAATGAGAACACATGGACACAGGGAGGGGAGCACTACACACTGGAGTCAGTTAGGGGGAAATAGGGGAGGGATGGTAGGGGGTGGGGAGTTGGGGAGAGATAGCAAGGGGAGAAATGCCAGATGTAGGTGATGGGGAGGAAGGCAGCAAATCACACTGCCACGTGTGTTCCTATGCAACAATTTTGCATGTTCTTCACATGTACCCCAAAACCTAAAATGCAATAAAATAAATAAATGGGGAAAAAAAAACATAGCTTTCCTTTTGCTTCACTCTTTTTGTATAACTTGGATTTGATATGGGAAACTTAATATGAGTCTTTGAAGTCTTAATTTAAAGTGTAATAGTGTACACTAGTGATCGTCTTCATTCTTTCAATCTTCCCAACAAAAGTGAAGCTTTTAAAACAAAAGTGGAAGTTAGCAGAGTTGAAGCTGAGGTTGAGCGCATAGCAGGTACAGAGTGCTTTCAGATGTACTCCTGTAGTTCTTTGCTATTTCCCGAAGTTCATCCTTGCATAATTAGCTTTAAAATTCCTTTCATCCCTTATTTTTTTTAAATCTGTCATTAACGTGTAGATTTTTATCTCTGTAAGTTTATTTTTACTAAACTTGCATGTTTTTAAATACCGTGTATTCTAAATCTAAACCAGTAGTTAGTGGCAACAGCTGCTAGGAACCACTGTAATAAATGGATTATGGGTTCCATTTACCTGGCAAGATTGCCTTTGATGTCTGCACGTCAGCAGTGAAAGGGGTTCCAGAGAACAACAAAGCCTCTGGGGGAAGGGGCAAGCTCATCCCGAGACTGAGTATGCACACAGAGGGAAGAGAAACAGGAGATGAGTGCAGAGTTGCCTCTGGAACAAACATGTTTACGTGGGAGGATTTATGAAGGGGTTCCTGAGTGGCTGAGTCCCGTGTGTCTGCAAGAGCATTGCTTAGATGCTGTGCCACCTAGGCAGAAAACAATATTTAAATCTGTGCCGGATTTATGATGCGTCTATGCCAGATTTATGATGAGTATATGTGATATTCATTCTGAGTGGTGTAACTGATACCGCCTGATAGCAATGTGTTGAAGTTCTAATCTTTCTCCGTGGTTTGCACCATGTAAATTATTATTTTCATTAAGATTAAGCATCCTCACAGAATTACATAGCAGTAACTTATGTAACCACCTCCTTAGAATGTTCTCTCTCTGAAAATATGCCTACCAAAGACTCTTTTAAAGATCTTTGAAATTAGTAATTAGGGAGGCTAAAAATGAAGCGTTAATGTGGAATCCTCTACATGCTTTATAGAAAGCAACTGAAGAAAATAAAGTTTTGCTCTTGAAGGTTCTTCTGCTTGCAATAAAAATAATTTGCAGATTTGCCTGGTTTGTGTGTTTCTTCAAGTCAAGAAGAATGTCATCGTTACATTTTGGAAAAGTTCGTAAATAAATGATTTGTTTCAGTTTAAAATATCTCTGTTTGATTACCCTGTATATGAAATTATTAAGAAAACTGTCTATAAACTTAATTATCCTGTAAACTAAACTGTAAACTTTTACTCTGTGAGCCAATGAGTTAAAGAATGCCATGAGGTTGAATTTCTGCACGTAGTTCCAGAACCTAATGGTAAAACTTAGTTTTGAGTTTATGACTACAAAATAGGAATTTGGCCCAAATGACAACAATAAAGAAAAATAAGATTAACCTTGAGACAGCGTATTTATAAAGTATAATGAGCAGGAAAATATGGTAAAATGCCCTGATGTTTAAGCTTCTATTAAAATAACAGCAAAAAATGTCCAAGTATTTGTTATGCAAGAGAAATTATGTGCAAAGCATCTTACATATGTTATTTTATTCTCTTTTCCTATGAGATAACTAGTAGTAGTATTCTCATTTACTGATGAAGAAAAATGGAAGGAAATAAGGATTTGTAAAGGTCAAGTAATTTGCCAAAGGTTGCCAGGGTTAGAAGTAGTGGAGTCAAGTTTCAAACCCAGATCCTTTGCCAGTGGAAACTCAACTCTTAACCATTGTCCATGACAAAAGCCTAAATCACTAATGAGACTGGCAGCAAACACATTTTTAGGTTGAATAAGGAAATGGTTACATAAGGCAACCTATAAGTATAATCATATTCTAGATAATATCATAAAAATGAAGAAATTATATTCAGAATAAATAAAAACCATTTGTGTTATGGCCCTAAAAATAGGGTTGGATAACTAATATTACTTCCACTTGATATAACAATTCTAACTTTTTAGAAGGCTGAAATTCAGGGAATAACCTTACGGTGCCCTATAAGCTTTGTTTTTCCATTGAAATTAGTGTTTTTACATCTTATTTGAATTCATTGTCTAACCAACAAAGTTCTCTATTAATGTTTTTATTTGGGTTTTTTTGTAGACATGACAAATTCAAGCTTCACAGAAGTTAAGAAAATCAACTACTATGATGCAGCTAATTGGTAGCAGAAATATACTTCAAACCTAAGTTTTATGATTTCAAGTCTAACGATTACTCCTGTCCCTTCAGCTATAAAACAGAGTGAGAACAGAAGTGGCTTGTGAAATCAATCTAACCCAGGATTTCTTCTTTCTTCTCATAGGCCGCTACCCGCAGGAGAACAAGGGCACCTACATCCCAGTGCCTGTAGTCTCAGAGTTACAAAGTGGAAAGTGGGGGGCCAAGGTTGTCATGAGAGAGAACAATTCTGTGCGGCTGTACGTCCAGTCTTCCCCCGAATGTATCGTGGGGAAATTCCGCATGTATGTTGCTGTCTGGACCCCCTATGGCATACTTCGAACCCGTCGAAACCCAGAAACAGACACGTACATTCTCTTCAATCCTTGGTGTGAAGGTAAGAGGCAGCCATTTCGTTTTCTCATTTAAAAATTCACCTATTTGGCAGGGTAACATGGCACATGCCTATAATCCCAGTTCTTTGGGAGGCCAAGATGAGAGGATCACTTAAGGCCAGGAGTTCAATACCTAGTCTCTAAGAAATAAAAATTAAAAATTAATTCGGTGTGGTGGTGCCCACCTTACTCCCAGCTACTTGGGAGGCTGAAGTGGGAGGATTGCTTGAGTTCAGGAGTTAGAGATTACAGTGAGCAATGATCGTGCCACTGCACTCCAGCCTGGACAACACAGCAAGACCCTGTCTTGGAAAAAAAATTCATGTATTTCCAATACGTCTCTTTTTGGAGGGGTAGCAAGATTATTCTGAAGACATGTACCTCTCCTGCATATACTATTTTAATGATTGAATGAGCAAGATAGAAAATTCATCCCCCTTGTATATGAGGATAAAACCTCTATGTGAAGTCAATGCTGCTATGCATTTATTTTGGGATTAATTGAAGATTATGTAAAATCACACAGTTATTTATGAACTATTTAACTGCGGTTTTTGTAATTAAAAGTAATTGCAAAAACCGCAATTACTTTTGCACCAACCTAATAGATGTTGATGGTATAATCTTTGGATGCTTTTGTTCTATAAGCAGACTGGGCTTATTAAACTTGACTATCAAAATTATTAGAGTCTATAAGTCTGAATTCAGAAAAATTAAATAAAGTCAACACTGTTCATAGTGAAGCTAACTTCTCTATCCCCCTACTTGAAGAACAGAAAGTCTATACATCTAAAGGATTCCACAAACTTGTTTATGTGCATAGTGGGTACAAATTTTGCAAACCATAACTCTGGATGTGCAAAGATATAACTGTACTTTAATACAATACAACTTGATCTCTAGTGCTATTTTCAGTCTTTCTGTCTGCGGCAGAAGCTTAATCTAGTTATATTCAAATAAACTCAGTCAAGTTCAGTGATTTCTCTATCAGTTCTCTTTTGGGCCTCAGTCACACGCAGAATTTTCTTCTCATCTTCGTCTATGCTCTTTCCTACCTCTCCTCTGCTTCCATACTTGGTATAGGGCTGTTTTAAATTCCAGAGGCAGGTACTGATGTTGCAGCAGCATCGATGCGGGAGAGACCACTTGTAGGTCCTAGGAAATAAGGCAGTGAAAGCTATAAAAGCTCAGATGGGAGCAGGAGACATCCCATGACATCCTACCCCGTATGCATCACGCTCCAACATGTTCCAAAATGAGCCTACATTATTGCTGATTTTGAATGACCCTTGTTTGTGAAAGCTGCATTTGAATCAGGGTTAATCTGTCCTAGATATAGAAAAGTGGACAACAATATTTGATACTTATCTAGAACATACATCTTGGTCCTACTGACCTTTTCTTTGATTAATATTCATATTTATTTACTTTTTGTAGAGACGTGGTCTCACTGTGTTGCCCAAGCTGGTCTCAAACTCCTGGGCTCAAGCAGTGCTCCTGCCTCAGCCTCCCAAAATGTTAGGATTACAGTCATGAACCACCATGCCCAGTGTGGCTTGGGAGTTACCTGTTCCACTAGTGTTGGCAAATGACACCAAGCTATTCCTACACTCCCCATATATCCATCCTCATCATCTTGTACCCAACACACCTATCTATGAGACAGATATTCAAGGTAAATGGTAACAGGAAATGTTAACTGGGCATATGCAGTTCAAAAATGAACTCCTGTTGGTAGTAATCTTATCAACCAGATATAAGGCATTTTGCAACTGGTTGATGAGGTGACATTACAAAAATGAAAAGACTGAGAGACTCATAGTTACTGATATATAAATTAAGATTTTGAATATGTTAAATTGGAGATAACCATAGGTAGACAAGCAGAAACGACAAGTTGGTATATGAATCTGAAGAGGAAAATCAGAGATGTATATTTGAGAGTTGTCTGCACCTAAGGAGAAAATATAGAAAAAGAAGGAAGTGAGATATAGTATCCACCCTTCAGGAACACCATCATTTAGGAGTCCAGTAGAGAAGAAGTAAGCAAAAGAGAATGAGATGGAGCGTATGTAGGAAGCAGCCTATTCTGAGAAAATTGTATTTAAAAATCTATACTTCTAAATTAATCAGGAGTTTGTTATTTACTTTCTTTGTATTAAACAAAGAAAATCATGACTTCATATAACTGTTCAGAACTCTAGAAAGTTTCAGGAATGCTATAATTTACCCAGACCTTGGTTTGTTTGCAGCTTTTCTGGATTGTATAATGTGTGTAAAATGGGATACGTGTCTGCATGCATTTCAGCTTATGTGGCCACTCTTCTTGAGGGCAAAAGGGTTAGTCATGTTGCCTGAAATGTTAACTTTAAGGATAACTATTCAGGAGGAGAACAATATAATAACCTAATTGCTGCCTTGATCTTCAGTTGTATCCATGATGAGCAGTTTCCAGGTACCTCTGTTCCAAAAGAGTCGCTTTGGTCTAGAGGTGCTTTTGCCCTAGAGGCTATAAAGGGACCTCCCCTAGGTTTTCAGTGCATAGAAAGAATTAGAGAAAGGTGGGACAAAAACCAGAGACCAATTTGGAAGCTGTGGTCTAGGAGAAAGATGATGATAGACTAAACTATGGTGGCACCAGTGGAGATGAGAAGGGGTTAGATCAGAGATCTATTTTGTATTTAAAACAGAAATACAAAATGGTATTTTTGCACAGGGATCGAAGATGGGAAGTAAAGAAATGGGAGGACTCAATAATAATTCTAGATTTTTTGTTTGGCCAGTTGGGCTAATTGTTGTGTCATTTTCAGAGCTGGGAAGACTGTGGGAAGTGGAGGGGAAGCACTAGGGGCGAAGCTAAGAGTTACATTCAGAAATGTTGATTTGGTGATGTCTATGAGACATCCGAGTGAAAATGTCAAGTAAGCACCTGAATAAAGTGAATCTAGAACTCAGAGGAGATGGCTGAGCTAGACATGTAAACATGGGCACCGTTAGGAGCAATAATGAACAAAAATGATTCAGGGTCATTAACAAGTAAGAGTCAAGACAAAGGAGAAGTCAGCAAAGGAGACTGAGCAGGAGCAGTCAGTGAGGCACAAGAAGATCAAAAGAGCCTAGAGCCAGATACATCGATAGATTCAAGATAGCAGTTAACGCCGTTGAATGCTATGATTAGCAGAATAGGATAAGGTAGGAAAGTGGCCATATAGTATGGAGATTGGATGTCTTCAATGCTCTTGAAAAGGACTGTTTCTCTAAAGTAATGGGGACAGAGGCCAGGGAGATGGTCATAGGCTGCGCTGTAAACAGGAGGTGAGAAAGTAGAGACCGCAGGAAATGGCACCTTTTTCAAGACTTTCTGCAGCACCTAGGTGTTGATGTGAAGGTCAGAGGAGAATTTTTTTAAAGACAAGAGAGAGTGGGTGTTATTTTATGGTGATGGAGAGGAAGCAGGAAGGAGAGTTTGCAGTCCAAAGAGAGGACAGTGGTTCACAGTCTTGGCCGCACATTGCAATCATCTAGGGAGCTTTGAAACTACAGATACCTCAGTCCCCAACATAGGCATTCGGATGTAATTGCTCTGGAGTGCAGCCTGGGCTTCAGGGTTTCTAAAAGTTCTGCAGGCGACTCTGGGAACGAAGGTGGAGAAGTTTTAAGATTGAAGTCTTTGAGTGGTTGGAATCCAGGGAACAGGTGAAGGGCCTGTGATGGGTAAGGCTATTTACCCTCCCCAGAGACAGGAGTACAGTAGAAGAGGGGTGCAGATTTTCTAGTTTAATGGAAAGAGAATAAGTCGTTGCCATTTTGTGACTCTTTTTTTTTTTTTTTTTTGTCAGTGAAGCATAAGGCAAAGTCATGTGTTGAGAAGCAGCAGCAAAGAAGGGCATGAGAGGCTTGATAGGGAAGATGTGAGCTAGTCATCTGGAAGGTGGAAGGTGAGCTTATTATGAATACGTGCTGGGAGGACCTTCCCTGCTTCCAGAACACAGGGCAAACTAGCACAGTCCTCCTCATTCCTTGGCCTGTGGAGGCCCAGACATCTCTGCAAATTCCTTAGGGATTTCTGACTTCATGGCTCTCTCTGCCTCTAGGAATCCTACTTCCCCTTGTGCTGCTGCAAGTGAGAAACTCGACCTTCATCTTCAATTTCAATGTCGGCAATAACAGTCACACACAACATCTGTGAATGCCCAGACCTTAACTGCAGCTTAGGATAGAGGGTGAGAAGAGGAAGGATGCTCTCTGTGGTCACCAAGCTCAGAGCACATCAGAATCACCTGGAGGGTTTGTTCAGACACTTCTGTGCAGCACCCTCAGGTTGAGTAGGTCTGAGGTCTGGTCTGAGAATTTGCATTTCTAACCAGCTCCTGGGAGATGCTCTTGCTGCTGATTGGGGCCAACACTTAGAGGACCCCTGGTTTCCTAATGATCACAAAACAATAAAGCTGAGCATGGCCCCTAGAGTAGCTTGCAGTCCCAGTGCTTGGGAACCTGAGGCGGGAGGATTGTTTGAGCCCAGGAGTTCAAGGCAGCCCGGCCGGCCTGTCTCTAACAAGAAAGAAAAACAATAAGCAATAATTTTAAAACTCAGGAGAGTATAATTTACTCTTCTTACACTTTCAGTGGCTCTATCCTGAACCTAATTCCAGTCTTTCTCCTCCTTACCACCCCTTCTCTCTCTTTCCTATGCTCTCCTTTATTCTCTAAACTCTTCTCTCCCATTCTGTCTCAGGAGCAAATTCTCCTTCCTTAATGCAGAGGGATCCTGAGCATTATTTTGTTCCTTAGTCTTCCCCAACAACCATGCTTTTGGGCACTGCACACTTTTTTTTAAATGAAACGAGAGAAAGAGGTCATCTCCTCATTTACTCGTGTGGTTTTCCCAGTCTAGCGTGCAAAGCATAACCCAAAAAGGGAACAAGATGATGAACCCCCTACACACAAGCACGTACACTGTGGCCCAGCAATCACCTGCAGCTTCATGCTTGTGTGTGTTAAT